ATGGGATAAAGTGGCATCGTTCTAATCCCATACGGGAGCATCCAGTCACTTACTGACTGCAAAACAGAATTGTTAAAGTATTTATTTTAATTTCAATTCAGGTTAGATTTTTTTTTTGTGCACAACGCAGATTTTCTGTGCGCAGAGACGTGCCAGCAGTGCGCAATTGCGCACGTGCGCAGCTTAGAGGGAACATTGATCATGAGACAACATGACAAATAAAATCACAGTTTAGTAACGCAGTAACGCCTATGGGAAAGTAACAGTAATCAAATTACTTTTTTGCAATAGTAATCCCTTACTTTACTCATTACTTGAAGAAAGTAATAACATGGTGGGACATTTAAATCATACTCGGTTCAACATCAAGTGTGCTCTGAAAATATCGCCCATAACAGGACGCCACAATCACCAGCCTCAGCTGTTGATACAAGGCAGGACGGATCAGTGCTTTCATGTGTTTTCACCAGATTCTTATCATATCATCTGAATGTCCCAGCGGAAATCAACACTCATCCAGGCAACATTTCTCCAATCTTCTGATATTTGATTTTGGTGAGCTCGTGTTATGGCTGACAGATGTGGCCTTCTGCTGCTGTAACCAGTCTGCTTTAAGGTTTGGCATGTTGTCCCCATTAACCCTAGAGATTGTGTGAAAAAAATCCTATAGCAGATCAGATGTATCTGAAATTCTCAAATCAGTATATCCTGCACCGACAACCAACCTTTTCTTCCTCATTTTGATCCTTAGGTTTTCATTTCTGCAGGTTTTTCACGACTTTGTGACTAAATGCATCGAGCTACTGCCACGTGATTGATTGTTTAGTTATTTGCACTTAAGAACAGCTGAACAAGTATACTTGACAAAAAGACCTGTGACTGTATTTTCTCTGTATGTAACAGAATTTGTAACAACACACATTTTATAGTTCAATAAGTTTATTTTAGTTAATTATAAGACATATATAACATAAGACAGTTATATATGTTATATCTGTATTTATATGATATCAGAGTTTGTGGCTGCTGGTGGAATGAAGCTGAGCTCACATTATATATTTATGAAGTGTATGAAGAAAGGAAGAAGGAAGTCAGCCTCTTTCCATATATTGATCTGTGTGTGTGTGTGTGTGTGTGTGTGTGTGTGTGTGTGTGTGTGTGTGTGTGTGTGTGTGTGATGGGGTTGAGGGGCCTTCATTGTGTGTCAGGGGTACCTTGGGCTAATGGTTTTGGTTCTCGAGGGACAACAGGGTGGGGTGCTACAGCTAAAACTGTTGTGTGTCCACCATTAGGACAGAGGAAATGGATGCTGCTGGCCAATCACAGCATCAAGAACTAAGTGTTTTCACTCGGGTCATAAGACAATTTGACCTGATTACTCCGCGTGCAGAGTGATGAAAAATATGGACTTCGATGGGTTGAGTACAAGCTAGTGCAGTTTGCTGTCATTTGTTCTCAGTTTCAACTCAGTTTCGATTATGACTTCTGTCATAGCTTTGATGATAATAATAATATAAATAGGCCCGGAGTCCAAAACACTCACCAGAGTTCTACTTTCTATCTATTTCAATATTTCTAAATTTCAAGTGGCTCTGGAACTGAAGTGGAACTGTTCCTCAGACTGGATCTGTCTTATATTAGGCTGACTATCTTTAACAACCAGTACATTTTCTATCAATAATCACACCGTTCCCTATCACCATCAGGCATCGAGAGCAAAAACAGGAAAAAAGAGACTCACCTCGGATCAGTATGCTTCCCGATCCTCTCTGCGTGGAGACATGAGAAGAGGCGATAGGAGGGGCCTGTACGTGTGCTTGGTAAGAGCATAGGAATATGGGCGGGCTGGAGCTTCCCAGTTTAGACCAGCTGCTGGACGCCAACTCGGACTATTATGATGGTATCACAACTTTATAGTACCGGTATCAGAGTAAATATGTTGATTTTTCTTTGTTATAAGAGACACAGTCAGCTGTCCTGGGCTGACTAACTTATCACAGAATAGAAAAGTCTTTATTAAAAGAAAACACGGTCAGCTAGTGAATTAGTACAGGGCAACCTGCAGGGTACTTTTATGCTATAATCTTTCACCAGAGGGTCTACACGGTTTTCTAATGCCAGCTAAATAATAATAACAAGCCATCTGTGCCTACAGGGTTACTAGAATTACCCTTATAATTGATTACTTTCTTATGACTGGTTGAAACTGGTTTTCAGTCATTCCTGTTATTGCAGCAATCCTTACATATATAAAGAGAGACATCTTATTTGGTAAACAAGAAGTAATAGCTTACTAAATGTAGTAAGAAATATCATATGACATGTCCATTTTTCCAAGGGTGCAAAAGAAAAGAACATTACACTCTGCTAGACAGATGTACTGCATTGTAGAGAGTCAGTGGATGAGATATGAGAGATTTTCTGTGTCTGTCCTTGTGACAGTGGGGCTGAATCAGTCTGTTAGAGAAGATCCTCAGAAGCTGCACCTTGCTGAGGCTTTTAAACTCCATCATTAAGCTGTGTTTATTGCTGTTGCCAGTACAAGAGAAGTGAGCCACTGCAGTTGTGTGCAGCAAATATAAACCTCACTTCCATGGGATTTTGCAAAGAACTTGACCCGAGTCCACATTTAAATGTTATTGGGTTTGAGGCCTTTACACTGAGGCAACGAGGAATCTGATGAATTAAGGTCTGAGCTGTAAACAATACAGAAACAGAGGTAATTTCTTAGAATAACAAAACATTTCTCCTTATAACAATGATACAATAATACAATAATAATGAAATAAATAATACTTATATATGTATAACCAGTCCCACTGGAACCCCTGAAGCTTTTAACTCCTTCCGAGTGGTCATAGCTGTGTTGGTGGCCCTACCTCACCAATCTTTTTCTTACTCTTCTCACTCAGTATATGAGGATGGCCGGCTCTAGGCAGATTCAGACAAGTACCCCAGTGCTTCCATTTTTTAATGATGGATTTACCTGAACTCTGTGGGATGTCCAGTCAGTTGGAAATCTTTTGTAGCCATCTGTTTTCATTGATTCGTTCTCTGTGATGCTTGGGATGTTCTTTTGTCACCATGTTACAATTGTGGCAGGAATACTGATGAACCAGAGACTGGACCTCACATACACGTGTTTTCATACTAAAATCATTTGACAAACATCAACTGCACTCAGGTGATCTCTCATTACTAATATGACACTGCAGGAATCAGCTATCTGGACCTCTGTTGAATTGTTGTTGTTGTTGTTGAATTACGTCGTTGACTTTAAAGGGGGGTAATTTATGCAACGTGTGCCTGGTTACACAAACTCAATGTTTAATGTGTTTATTTCAAATTAAAAGCTCTCAACCAATTTCATGGACAAAACCCTTTGTTTCTTAATCATATGCTTATACTGAAACATTTTTTCCTCCGTAGTGTAGAGGTTAACACATTCACCTTATATGCAAAACATCCCTGGTTTGAGATCGGGAGAAGACACAAACCCAATCTCAGAGGGTCACAAGCTTGTGTATTTTTAGTGGTGGTCTTGGTCAAATCAAATGTGTAGAACTAGCCACTGTGGCAGCCCCTTGGGAAAATAAAGAAGGAGCTAAAAGTACCATGTAGGAACTTGTTGTGGAGAACACAAACTCAAAAAACACAAAACAACAATGTGGCTCTGGCATTCACCATCTGACAACCGTTTATTAATTCACACATTATTCTAGGTGGGAGAGAGAGAAGGCAACCCCACAGGGAGAGAGCAGGAAAGAGAGTGAGATGACACATCAAAGAAGCAAAGTAGAAAAATATGAGGAGTTTAACGAAGGGTCTAATGAGGTTGGCACTAGAACATATGAACCAGACTGGCACAACAAATGTAAAGGTAAGGAATGTAAAAGCGTGCCTTGTATGTGTCTTGGTCACAAAGCAGCCCCCCAAGAGCCAGAGGCAGACAGAGAATCAAGGAGATCCCCGTCATCTGCAGCCCCCAAAAGTACTGACGACCCGAGACTACACATCTCAATGTGCCCACCCCAGCAGAACAGGGAGGGAGGCCCCAGGTGTGTTTTCTAATTACAAGTAAAAACTAAACAAAGCGTACTTTTTTTCCCACCACCACCAAACGCCCGCTCTTGGGAGTGATCATCTGATTGTTGGGGGTTTTCTGTCTATTAGTACTCCACAGATTGAGCTCTCTGCTCAGTTCAGCTACAGTTCCCACAGCGCTCTACAACGTCAGCAACCCAGCTGGTTCTCCGTCCATTTGGTCAAACACTCCCGTGCTCAACGATCCACCCGTGACCCATTCAGCCCTGCAAAAACTATTTATCTTCTATCTAACAAAATATTTATCTATCAATCCCTTATCAATCTAGCTTGCTTTGGCTCGTGTTATAGCAGCCTCAATACCAAATTGTGAGTACTCACCTCTTTTAAAACAAAAAGTACTAAATGCTTCACATTTTTAATAAAACTGCACATTAAAGATAAATGTACTGTATTTTAACATTCAGAGACATGTGGTCTTATAATGGGAAAAAGACTAAGGAAAAGTTAACCTACAAATTTTTTTTCAGCTGTGGGTTAAAATAAACTCATTCAGTCAACCTAATAGACGGAGGAAGGCTGTTCCAAAGTTTAACACTTTAATCTCAAAAAGCCAGGTCGCCTCTGTATTTAAAATAAAAGCTTGGAACAGTTAAGAGACCCTGATCAAATAATCAGACAATAGCTCTGTTCTACAGGCTGCACAGAGCCAGACCAGGTTGAGCTTTATATGTTATTAATAAACTAATACCATGGTTCTTAGCAGAGCATATGACAATGCCAGCTGATGTAATGACTGACCTCTTTACAGAAGCTGTAAGGGCTGAACAGAAGGATTGTGTAAGGAGTGGCTGTAATAGAAAGACAAGTTACAGCTGTGTATCATCCGCATAGCGATGGAAGAAGGTAACTTTGAAGCTGTGAAGTAGATGACCCAGTGGTAACATGTAAAATGAAAACAGAATTAGTCCAAGGATTGAGCCCTGGAGGACTCCATGTACTTGTGGCACACATAAGGAGATATGAATTGCGAAATATCCATCAGATAAGTGTGATGCAAACCATTTGAGAGTTCTTCCGGTGATGCCAGCCCAGACAATACATGTAGTTAAAACGCCACAGGGGTCAAAAAGACCCCTTGGTAGTTCTCTAAGCAGACAAAAGTATTGGGCCAGTTTGTCCATGGAAAACTAAACCTGTGCAGATGTTAATGTCAGAGCAGGTTTGGAACTTTAAACTATAAGTCTGGACTTAATTTAAGCTGTAGAAGTGTATCGGTAGAATTCAGCTGATGGGGCAGAGTAACCACAGTAATGGGCTTGGACCCCCAAGACTCATCCATAACAATGATGCTGAGACAGATGGAAATGAAACTATTCACAGCTGGCTTTCTGATCCATTTATGAAATCTTTCTAATATTTGATCTTCTAATAATAGCTCTCTAATGTACTCAAACTGTCACTTTGGATGCACTACATCACTTGTATGATCAATGTGATCAGTGTTTAAGCATAAATTAATAGCACTACACCTCTTACATGCATGCTAGCATGCGCTACCAAAAATAGTGCTTTGTTGTGTATCTGACGGTCGAAAGCTAAACCAGTTCCACACCACTGAAGCATTTTTACAAACCAGTTCTGGTTCATCTGTTTCATTCAACAATCTGCTTTCGCCCTTCTCATTCTCCGTCGCCGCCATGCTTTTTCCGCCATGTGCATATGAAAACAAAGACACTGCACATGCGCGTTTTCCCCATATTCTATTGCGATATTTCATTTTCTTATCGTTGCCCAGCATTATACCGGTATTACCGGTATTACAAACAGTGTTTGTTGTTGTTTATTTGAAATCTGCAAAATGTCCTATGATTGTTTCTTTTATTTTTTTGAGAGTTAATATTTTGGGTATGGTATCTTTTTTTTTTTGAAAAATACAAGAGTAAAAGTGCTTTTAACATGTGCTTCAAAACTAAGTTTGACTGGGAACCTCAAAGCTCAATAGCCTGCATCAACAGAAATTCACTGCAGCCTATGTAATGTTTGATGCGTCATTATTTATTCCAGTCTATCTTGCAAATACATGTTTGTGCTGCAATGTCACGCACAAACACAAACTAGTAGATCCTTAAGATCAAACCTATGTCAAAATAGTGTCATTCTTTTGGTCCATTGGTGTGTGGTAAGCCATCAAACAAAAGGAAAAACTAAAAATCCGTTTTGGATGAAATGTACATTTGCTGAAGTTCGGAATGCAGGGCTTTTGCCTGTACTGGAGTAATTTCCCACTGGGGAAGCACGCTTTTTAAAAATGTATTTGTTATTTTTACTAAACGTAAAGAACTAAGTAAGGAAAGGAAAGGCTCCAAATAATAAAGTCCTGCAAATTACATCAAAGTTTTTATTTCTTTAAATATTTGTAATAGGCGTTCTGACTACTGAGCAGTACAATGGGTGGGAGTGTTTGTGCCACAAACGGGATCAGTTACTGAATATTGACCTCTCTCTCTCTTTCGCTCGCTCTCTCACTCCTACACGAGCATGCGCAGAGGCTCCGTTTCTCGGCGTTTCCGTGTTGTTTCGTGTGTCAGCAGATTGAGACGGCTCATCGCGGTTGGTAAGTCTCATACTGCGCTCCGGTACTTGGGTCGGTTCGCCTCGTCCCTCTCTGTCTGGCCCTGTAGCTACTTTAGCTGCCTATTTGTTGCTGTTGCTGCCGTTCACAGGGGAGCTCAGGGCGACGGGGAGAGACGCGGACCGCCGCCTCATTCCGCTGTTTGTTTCCTGAAAGAAGCTGTCGGGACACACTCATTTGGCGCGCTTCCGATCGCGCCTTCATAATAAGAGCTTTTGCTGCAGAACAAAATCTTTACAGTCGTCATTTTTGCAATAAAAGTCCAGAAACCGCAATAGAGAGTTGGAAAAACTCGACAGGGGGACGTAATTAGACTTTATTTTTTAAATCATGCTTTTCTTAAAAATAAAAGGCAGAATTGAAAACAAAAATATTCTATCAAAATAAACTCCTAAAGTTTTTTGAGCTACATTTTGAGATCCAAACAATAATTATCAGTAAACCTAACGAGATCTGTGTAGATTTATAGAACAGGAGAAGTAGACCTCGAGTGCTTTCATAACTTTAACTTTACTTTGTACATTTTAAACAAAATGTGTTATAAGCTAACTGAGTCACATATAACAATTTAATCAAAGGTACAGCAGCTACAGAGAGATTGTTTTACTCTGTATATTAAGAATAAATATAACCGAGTATGCTCACTCAGTTATATTTACTCACTCAGTGTTTCAGTACTTTAACCATTTCAAACTGATGTATAAATGAAAATACTCCCTTAGATGAAAAATAATTAATATCTTATAGTTATTATATAAGATTAATTAATATCTTCAATATATTATCTGTTACATTTATATTTCTGACAGCCACAAATGTTTTTGAGAATCTGATGGGTTTCATTTTGTCAGAGGTGATGCAGTTGCCCCCAAATACATGTAGGATTTTATTTTGAAGGTGAATGTGTGTTGACTTCCTGTGTGTTTTAATGGCGTTGCTTCCTGCCATGATAAAGATGATGACAAGTGTAGTCACAATGTTTTTGTCAAAAATCATTGACAATTAGCTCATTGGTGATTTAGTTGATTTAGAGTCAAAATGCTGGTGTTGATGTTGAGGTTTTTGTAGTTGATGTTATAGCTGTTGTGTGAGTTTGGAGTTTAGATCACATGTTTGTCTCTGTGCTCCTTTAAAAGACTATTCTAATCTTAAATCTTTCACTTTTTATTTGCTGAAACTGAAATTCTAACGTGACTATGAAAAAGTTCATACATTTAATCCACTTGCACTTGACAGTGCAAATGGATTAACATTTATAAATATTAATGATTTTAGTTTTTTTGGATGCAAGATATATTTTGTTTTACTTCATACAGTACTGTGCAAAAGTCGTGAACCACACCTATTTACTTTATATTTTGCTGGGGAAATGGGGGAAAAGGTGCAGCAATTTATTCAGATGTGCAAACATAAATGGAAATACAGTGTATAAGGCAAACACAGAGTTTATACTTTTCTATGAGCTTTTCATCTTTATGTTTCAACACAGCTTGAACTGTCTTAGGCAGCTTTCTTTAGTAAGTCTTCAGGAATAGTATTTTAGGCTTCTTGAAGAACATTCCAAAGTTGTTATTTAGATTTTGACTGCTGTTTGCTCCTTATTGACACTGTTTCAACAATGTTTTCTGCAGCTTTAATTCTCGTCCCTTTTGCACTTGCATCACATTTTTAGTTAGATTTTTATGTTCTTTATAGATATTTAATAACAATTTTATCATCGTTTGATAACGTCTCTGATTAGAATAGGTGACCCATGACTTATGACATAGCTCTTTTTATGTGACTGAGGCTGAAGCAGAAACACTGGGTAACAGAGTAAAGTGGTACTGTGAAACATTTAGGTGGTCTTCACAAACTGGAGACATCATATTTTATTGTTTATTTTGGAGAGCAGTTGTCCTTACCTTAATAGATCATTAACGAATAGTAATTTTTGCAGATGTGTTGCTGTCACTCCTTTTCATCTCGTTGAGGATTATGTGTTGTGTTCTTGGTGTGATTTTTGCTGCACCCACTTGGATTATTAAGTATGTACTGAATGATTTATTCATTGATTACCTGACTGGTTCAGATAATAAACTGCTAGAACTTTAACTGAACAACATCAGTTCAAACTTTACTTCTGTTTGTTTTTCTGTTTGAGCAGATAGGAACCAAAGAAGAAGACACGAGATGAAGAGCAAAATCAGCAGCGCTCAAGGTAACACACTCAGCTCCTGACTCACCTGGGTAAACTCTTTCTGTAAAATCCACCATTGTTAGAGTTAAGATTGCATTTTAGTCAGATGCTAAATGTTTATTTTACAACTCCTGCAAAACCTGTCGACTTACTACACTTGAAGGATCCCAATTCAGCCTTTTTTTTTTACTCTGCAGTAGATAAAAAAGCACAGATGTTAACAATTGAATGTTCTGGGTTCATGAAACACAACTCAAACAAGTTAGATTACTTTCTTGAATGTCACATTTTCAGATTGTGTAGAATATTATTATTATTATTATTATTATTATTATTATTATTATTATTATTATTAATATTGTTCATCAAGATGGTTCCAACTTTATTAACAAGTTGTTAGCAGATCAGCTTTGTTTTCATGGATCTTTTTTCACTTTCCAGTTGATGTCACAGATGTGAGTCTTATCTAAAGAAAAGCTTTCACACTCTTTGCTGTGTAGCAAGATCACTTCTTATCCTGAAACTTAATCATCATCAGACCTACTTATTCCTAACCAATGAGAACATTTCTTTCAGGGTTTTTTACAATTCTGTTCCAGATATTCACTGTTGTTTGTGTCCACTTTCATTTGTTTTGATGTACATAATCTTTTCCTATTGTTTAAACTGACAGTTCACCTGCTAGGACCCAGATCCCTTTCAGTCTGCAAGGTGTAACAATTTGTGAATGTCTGCAAACTGTTTTACATATTTGTGCAGGCATTTGTGATATATAACAGCTTGGTACACGATTGTGGTATATCGTATTATAGTAAGATGATGAATATATGTGTAGCTTATGTATTTATATATGTCCATATGTACATTTAATGTATGTCGCCCATATTTAAATTAATATTCACTAGAGTTTGTATCCATGTTTTTGTATCGATGTAGGCCTGACAAAAACTGCTCAAAAGGTGCTAGTAGTAAACAAAAACTGTATTGATGAGCATATGCAGGGTGCCATAGCTTCTTAGACTGTTAAAAGTTTAGCTTTTAATTAATAAGTAATTAACAGTTCTTATAAAAATGGATTACAGTTTATCTTTATAATAACGTTTGACTTTTGCACTAATAACTTATTAATTAAAATCTTGGCATTTTCATTAATATGTTATTGAGCTATTGAGAAAGCATTCAACTTAACATTAAACATTAGAAGAGTCACTGTCAGTGTGTGTTGCCCTTAAAGAAAATGCCTCATTGCCATATATAGGATGTTAAACATTGTCATGTTTACAGAGCCACACAACCTTGTATTGGTCGTGTGTGTGTCTGTGTGTGTGCAGACACACGTGTATGCAGTGGTGTGAAAAAGTGTTTGTCACACTTAAATGCTCATCAAATAGATTTAAATATTAGACAAAAATAACACAAGGAAACAAAATGCAGTATCTAAATGTAGGTGTTATTTCTCTATATACATATATATAAATATACATGGTGGTATGAAAAAGTGTTTGCCCCCTTTGGGATTTTTGTATGTTTGTCACACTTAAATGTTTCAGATCATCAAACAGATGTACTTTTAGACAAAAATAACAAAAGTAAACACAAAATGCAGTTTCTTTAATGAAAGTGTTCATTTTCAAGGGGAAAAAATTCCAAACTTACATGGCCGTGTGTGGAAAAATGATTCCGGCCTCAGGACCTGAAAGACTCGCTGTGGTAAATGAAACAGTGACTTCTGCTGTCTATCAAAACAACATAAAGGAGAATGTTGGGACATCTGTTCATGACCTGAAGCTTAGACGCTGTTGGGTACTGCAGCACAAATGAACCAAAACGTACCAGCAAGTCCACCTCTGAATAGCTTAAGAAAAACAAAACGAGTGGCCTATCCTGACCTAAATCCAATTGAGATGCTGTGGCGTGACTTTATCTATATA